TTCACTTTCAGGTTTAGATTGTCGCATCGGTTTCGTTTTAAAATTCCTTTTGCTGTTCGTTTTGCAAAACGATCGACGATCGAATGTTTTGCAATTCTACGTCAAAAGGAAGATTTATCGTTGATTTTAAATAAACTTTTACGTAAAGGAGGGTGGATGGAATCGCGGATAGGGTGGGTCTCCAATTCGCAGAGCAACCTTCACGCGGTGAGACCTGGAAAATTGTTATTATTTACTATACTATTTATAATCGTATCTGTGATACAGTTCTAAATTTTATAGCAAATAATATGAGCTGACTGGCTGCGCATGCGTTTACTTTTTTACGTATTTATTAAGTTACAAGTGAGATCTTCATATTGACTTTTAAAAATCATGGGATATGTATTAGTTGTTAAATCGTTTTATATTTTATCGTTTAATTTTGAATAATGACGATTTTTCTGTAACTTCTTTTTTTTCTTATCTTGTAATTGATTTGCATATATTTATCATTAACAAAGACATCGTGTCTTTTCGAGGTTATTTCTATGAATATTTCATGTATTTTAAAAAACTATTTTCTTTTGTAAGTTATAAGATCGTTTAATAATAAATAAAGATAGTTTCTCAGTAAATTAGTCCTTTTATTAATTCAAAAAGATTCTAATCATTCGATTCAATTTTAAAAAATATGTATGTATTAGTTTTATTACTTTTAAATAATTAAGTAATTTCGATAAAATAAATAAAACTTTGTTTTATCGAAATTGTAAAATTAATTAGTGAGGAATAATTTAATTTTAATTTTCAAATACAGTTTTAAATTTAACAAATAATAAATTAGATTTTATGTTTTACGCAATAATAGTTTTCTGCTAAGCTAATAACGTCACGTGTGGCACAAAGTTGATTAAAAGATTAGATGTTTTCCGAATCCTGTGTAATAAATAAGAAAAGACACATCTGCGCCATCTCTTGAGAGTTAAATACATTTAAATTGTTTTAAAGACATTTAAGAGATGACGCTGGTTCTTAATTCTTAATATTTTCTTATTTACCATTGTAGTTTATTTTTAATGAAATATCTTTGATTTTCGAAAGATGGTGTCCAAGGTTAATTCTTGTTCTATATTATCTTTTGTTTCGAAAGATACCTTTGGCGCCCTCGTCTCTATGTGTTTCATTGTATTACTGTAAAGATGGCGCTAATTTCACAATTTTATAGGGAATTTCATGAAGAATTTTATCGATTAGATATTTAGGTTGATTTTCATTGAATCACTTTATTAACCATTTGGTTATTGCACTACTCTTTTTTAAAATATGCGATTATATATATAAATATGTATTAACGAGAATTAAAACTAGATATATTTTTTGTATATAAATATTTCTACAGTCTCTTGATTATGTACGATTATTGTTACATGGCTGAGTACGTAATCATAATATGTACATAATAATCAAGGCAAAATACGAGATTAACAATGAACATATTTCCATTTTGTTTTCCAGTATATCTATTGGAATATGTTTTAAATTTAATCTTTAATGTAAAAAGTAGATATCACGTTCTCGATTTCAAACTGTATTTTTATTGTAGGATGATTTTACAAAACATAGTATATATACATGTATATGATTATGATATAACGATTCTTATATATAAGTGTTTTAATTAAACTTAATTAATTGAATTAAAATAATACAATAATATGATTATTGTAATTATTTTGAATGATTCTTATACGAACATTTTAAATTGAACCAAACTAACGAAATAAAATAATAATTAGTACATAATATCAAATATTTTAAAAAATAAATATATAATATGAGATAGGTATTTGGTAAAACTATTATTGTTCATAAAAAATGTAAGTACTTCAATTTATTGTAGATTATATACAGATATCGAATCTGCAACAGCCAAAACATTTCGTGTTTAACATTACATAATTTCTGAATACTTACATTTTATAAAATTTCAAACAATTAATTCGTAAACAAATTCACATATAATGTTTTAATCTCACTTTATTGACTACAGACATACTTAAACCAAAATGCTGTTAACCAATCTATCCATCATCCTTCGCAATATTTCCGAAGTATATCCTTTTTCAATATATTCAAATCACAATTTTTTTTCCTCGCGATTCCAAGATGCATAATTACAAAATAACATAAAAAGTTTGCAGCACCATATAATGTCGCGATGCACGATGCACCAAAAAGGCTTATCAATTAATATACAATTAATTATACAGAAGAAAGCTCGAACAACATGGAGATAATGTAACAGTTCGCAACTAATTCTCTTCCATCAAGTACGAGCAAAAATTCCTAAGATTGAGCGTGTTCTCGTCTACTCTCGCAAACGCATAATAATCGCAGCCAAAATATCGAGATAGCTAAGAATTACATCGTAAATTACGATCAACTTGCTCGATAAATTTCGAAATTTACTCGAAAAGAAAAAGAAGAAAATGCAGCGAATGCAAATATCGACGACGTCAAGAAAGATAAAAATTTTTAAAAATTTTCAAATTTTAAGGCTTTTTAAGTTTATCTCTCCGATTTTTAAATTTTTAAAAACAGAGAAAAGGAAAAGAACGAAGAAAATTTATTCGCATTAGCCGCATTTTGTTTCGAGACTTCCATCGTAAAGAATCTTTACGCCAAATCAACAATTACAATTTGTACAATGAATTTAATCCATAATATTACGCCCTGCGTTTTTGATTCGCATTCCTTGCTCATTGCTCGACGTTTGTACAAGGGAACCGCATAGATAAATTACGTATCCATGAATTCGATAACGTCTGCAATTTACGTGCAATTTTCGCTTGAAACAGTCGCATTACATTTGTGCGTCAATTTTCTGTTCGGTACCGTGCGCGCAGAAGAGTCATAAATAGATACGATTACAAGGCAAGGTAAAATACATTTCGATAGTAAATTCACAAGTAAAAAGGAAATTTCTTAGCTTAATCTCCTTTCGTTTTGGAAAAATTAATTTTTCAATGATGTTTTCAATTAAATCGTCAGAATATTCGTCGTTAACGGGAAAAAGAATAGAAAAAAATTTCTTTCTTATCTCATTTCAAAGGAGAAATGATGGTTCACGATACATAAAAATGTACAATGCGTATAATTTGAAATTAAAATTCTCCGATTCAATTCCATATCTTTATTATTATTACTATTCCTCGAGATCTTTTTCTAAGTAAAAGATTAGATTATAAAGGAAGTGTAAGGAGTTAACAGTTGAAACTCTGTTTGAACGAACGTACACAAAAGCGAATAGTACATGTCTTACGTCTTAAGTAATGTTTTCATAATTATAGAATTACAGTCGCTGGTCGTTAACAGGATCTTATAAATTATCTACAGTTGTTATTAGAGTTTATAAACATATGCAGCGCTTTTTTTGAATATTCTAATTTTTTTTCTTTCTTTCTTTCTATCTCTCTCTCTTTTTCTTTTTTTTTCTTTCTTTTTTTGTGAAAAAGTACGATGATTCATTTTATACATTTTATTTTTAGCAAAGTTATTCACACCATTTACTATATTTATATATAGTATCATATACAGACAAATTATCGAATGTTTTTTAAATGGCACTATTCGAGAGTTGCCTGAGTACGTTTTGCTTGATGACTAGAATTCATTTAATCCTTTCTCGTGTTACAATATATATGGAATTGTCACACGCTTCATTCCTCGCGCGTATACGTCGGAACTTTTATCCTTTTTTTTTTTTTTTTTTTTTTTTTTTATTTCTCTCACTACGATCGATTCGTTTTACAAAATATCAGAACTATGGTTTAGAAAAGCTTAGAAATGGGATTTCGAATCTCGATTATATTGCGATTAATTCGTTAATAAATCTATTTGCATGATCATAAGCAAAGATGGAGTGCAAAAAGCACCAGATTTTCCTCTTTGAACGGTAAACATATAATATATATATATATATATATATAAAACTTGATTAAACTACTATTAATAATACTACTCA